GCATGTGGAGGGGGACGGAGCTCACGATGGGGTCAGCCTTCTGCAGCGTTGCTCCTCGCAAGTCCAGGAGTCAGGGCTCCTCACTGGGAGGGCAGGGCAGAGTGTGCCTCCCACCCACGTGCATTTTAAGACGTGTTCATGGTGGTGGTCACTGGAAGAAGGGGATTTTGCTCCCTTCTTCCCAATTTTCTCTTCCAATTGCCTTCAGTGATGGTTGGGAGCTGCCACAGGGGAACCGAGCACCCCTTCACCACTGTGTGTGTGAACTGTGGGCRCTGAGTGCACAGGGTGGACAGAACCAACGTCGCTGGGTCTTGCTCTGGTCTTTTCGCTGGCTCTGCCATGATCAATCCCCACCCAGCTCATGAGACGGGTGTGGCCTTCCCAGATGTCAGCTGACCTGCTGACAGCAGACATCATGAAGCTAGATTCAATCCCCTGAAACCTGACCCCTCGCCTCATTTGAATGGCTTCTCCCCAATAAAAAGGTTCAGCACATGCTCTCTCACACACTCTCTCTCTTTCCATGGACCCCTAAGGTCAGAGAAGCTGTCCCAGGACCCAAAGGTATCTCTGTCTTTTGTGTGGTTACTTTGTGCAGCCCAGTTCATCAGGAGTGACCCTGAGTGTTTGAGTCGTGAGAAAAGTGACAAGTGATAAGTCTGTTACTTGAAGCCAGAAGGCTTCTTGCAGATGCTGGTAGCACGTGGCTTCAAGTCTAAACTGAGGGGTGCTACCTACATCATGCTCCTGCCTACCTTCCAGGGGAAGCAAGAGTAACCGCCATGTCTTTAACACTCAGACAGTAGGACTTGTTCCCATTCAACATACCTCTTATTAACTACTACGGAAGAAACTGGAATTGTAATGATAGAGGGAATAGATTTAGTAAAGCCTCATACTTTAAACTATTTCTAAAATCACGCCCCTTTTCTGAAACATATTCTCACTGGATGCTCTAAGATACAATACGTGCCATCATTCCAAACCACACTGGGCTACCTGGCTTCAAGCACAGGCATCTGAGTACAAGGCCAGTCTGGTTTGGGTCCCAGGCTTCACACACAGGCTCCCCCGAGGTCTTGGGGAGGCCCTGAGTCAAGCTCCACAGCAGTCACCCTGACTGCCATCAGTCACTCGCAGCTGCCTTTGTCCCTCTTCCCTGTATGCCAGGTAGTCTGCAGGGGAGCTAAGGGCACACTGAGGGGGAGCACATTTATGCTGTACGCAGTTACCTCTGTGCACATCTAAGGGATTACCAGTGTATGAACTTTTGGTTGACAAGGGTAACTTAGAGGAKGAAACGTTCAGTTTGGTTCAGTTTCAGAGGTTTAGCAGATGGTGGGCCAACTCGATGGCTCTGGGCCCAAGGGGAGGCAGAAAAACATGGTAGAAGGGTGCTGCTCTGCTCCAGGCAGTCAGGGAGCATAGAAAAAGGGGGAGGAGCTGTAGGAAAGGCGAGCCCCTTTAGGGCAGCTTCTAGTGACCCACCTCCTTTGGCCAAGCCCTGCCTGCCCACAGTTACCCCTTAGTCCATTCAAATTAGGATGGACTGATCAGATTAGAGCTCTTACTCGTCAATCATTTACCCCTGAATATTCCCCCACACATACAGGCACTTTTGGGGAACACCTCACATCCAAATCTTAACCACCAAGGATACTGCTATCAATCACCCCGTACACCACCAGGGCTTCATTCATTACACGGTGCAAGGCTGGGGTCCTGAGGTGACATGAAATGGGCCCAATGGCAACTGGCAGGAGAAGTGCATGGGCAGTGGAAAAGAAGCCTGGGTGGACTGAATGCAGGAGCCAGATGCTCATCTGTGGACATCACCCTCCTCCATGTGAACTGTAGCATACATGTCAGTTCTCCGTGGGCAAAACAGCGGTCTTTGATGTACAATTACCAGTACGTCTTGGATGTGCATTTTTTTTCTTCAATGARATTGTGGAAAATGAAATGAATCAACTATGTTTCTGGAACTCAAGATTTTAGAAGTTACTACAAAAAACAAATGTTCTATATATATGAAATAATGCCTTATGCATCCTAACAATAATAAAACCTCATCAACTCTGTTGGAGGAGTCAATGAAGTCTGTTTTCTTACTGTCATACAAAAAGGCTTCTAGTAACCCGGAGCCCAAAAAAAAGTATAATAGAAATACATCAGTTAACTATCAGACACTTTTCAATTATATCTGTATTACTGTTCAGCTTTTTCAAAACTGTACTAATGTATTTTTTCTCATGCTAAACAATGCGTATTTTCTAGACTAATTTTTATTTGCAACTTTATATTTCTTTTTTAAAAAGACCACCCCGCCCCACCCTGCCAACTGTATGTTTCATACAGGGCCCAGAAACCTGATAGAATCTGAAATGCTTTTAAACATTTACTGAGTACCTCTTCTCAATCAAGAAGGACTAAGTGCTTAGGTGTTGAGGGCTACAGCCAAGTCTGGAGTAGGGATGGCACCTGGCATTTTGCCAGAGGGAGTGGTTGAGAGGTGACACCAGCGAGCCATTGGGATGATGATGGTTAAGTTAAGCTGTGTATTCAGTTGTATATAGACCCCTGCTGTCCCCCTGGGGGGGCGCCCGCTACTTTGGAGTTCTCCCTTTAGAGTTCTCCCGGGGATTCCTGGGGAGTTCCCATTGGTTGGTGAAGTTCCTCTGGAAGGGCCAGGTGGGTGGCCTGCGTGGGAGTTCGGGCAATAAAGTAGTTCCTGTTTGAACCTACAAGTGCCTCGTGGAGGCTCSGTTATTTTGTGCCCAGCCAGACTRCRGCACTTAGGGATATAGGAGCTCCTAACAGAGTTCCCTCCAGTACAGTGGGCCAAGGTAAGGCAGTTGCTGAACCCGGAGGAAGCACTGGAGAAAGTAAAGCAAGGGTGGCAGAGAAAAATCCGGCAGGTGGAAAGACTGGAGGAGGCCTCACCAAAAAGACCACAGGAAAGGCCTCAAGAATGTCCTGGCACTGCTGATGGCAGCTACCACATCCTGAGGGACCACCCCTGCCGGGAGCCCATGCCAAACCCTCTACTTACAATCTTTCTTACTACTGCTCACAAGGACTGCACAGTTGGCTTTATTCCCACAGCTACAGCTCAAGGAACTCAGGCTCAGAAAAGTGAATGTCTTGGTGCATACTCAGCTCCACCAGGAGCCTCAACCCCACTCATGGAGTGCACTGGGCACCCCGGGAGATGTGTTTAACCAGAGGCAAGTGAGTGAGCCACCAGGGCCACATGCCCACTGCAGTCCCAGACAGCCAAAARAAAGGGGAAGGGGCCACTGCTAGCCTGGCCTGCACTGGGAACAATGCAGCGGGTCTGGGCCTCACAGGGATTGGGAAACCAGGTAGACAAAGGGCTCAGTGTGTGCTCAGGCAGGTGAAAGGCTGAGTGTGGTGGGGCCCCRAGACAACTGAGAGGAATGGGGCTGCAACCTGAGCTGGGCTGTGAGGACTCCAGTGGATCAAGGGATGGAATCTAAGACATGAAGCAGGGTTTGCACCTGGGACGAGGCTTCTATTTTGAGAAGCAATCGGGAGGACGTGCTGGCCAAGGGAGAGAGGAGGTGAAGCAAGACTCATCACTGTACGCTACCACATTACTGTGCCCTTCTGCTTCTGAATTTTAAAATAGCAATAAACTAAAACACCAGTTTAGGGGAAAACAACCCTCTGACTAAAAAGCTTCTTACATCCCTAACTTCCTCCTGATCTTATCTATGTCCTCACATATTTTTTAGAACATAATAGTTACTGTATACCCCATTTTACTTTTTAGGTTAAGGCTTAATTTTAAGCACATTTCTATGGATCAAAATGGTTTAAATTTTGCTTGGAGGAAGGACAGGAATGGGTTTGTCAAATTATGTTCATTGGTCAAAAAACGCTGGTTCGTTTATCAGATTGTTTTCAAAACTGGGATTCGCAAAGCAAAATCATGGTCACATACTGCTAGTTGCTCTCCACATATTCCAGACTAGAATCACCAACATAAACATTCCCCAGAAAACTGCCAAGCACTAGACTTTACCATATTAAGTTCTGTGGGACTCAGCTTTTAAACCCCCTTTGTCAAGGATGAAACCAGACCCCTGCAATGACAAAGATACTAATAAATGACTTAACACATCCTGATCTTTTTTTTTTTTTTTTTTTTTTTGGTACTGGGGATTGAACTCAGGGTCACTTGACCACTGAGCCACATCCCCAGCCCCATTTTGTATTTTATTTAGAGACAGGGTCTCACTGAGTTGCTTAGCACCTCACTTTTGCCAAGGCTGGCTTTGAACTTTTGATTTTCCTGCCTTAGCCTCCTGAGCCACTGGGATCACAGGCTTGCGCCACGGTGCCCAGCAACACACCCTGATCTAAACAATGGAGTTCTGCCTGCCAGGGAGCACTAGGTTGTATGTACAATGCTTGTGGTGAGTGAGTAAAAGGGGAAGCAGGTGAACTGATAGGTGAGTTGGTGAAGGGAAAAAATGCACAGAGTGAAAATGTAAGCCATATAAGAGAAATGTGTATTGTCTGGTGTGACCAGAGGCAGGCCTCTTTGGAAAGAAAAAAAGGAAACAGAATTCCTTGGGACCAAGTGGATTTAAACAGGCTCTTATGGAATGATCCATGCATTAATCTTTGCTTTGGCAACTGCGTTCCTATCTTCCCTCTAAGCAAGGTAACTCAATTCTATTCTTTTTCAATGTTTTTTTTTTTCCCTTCTCTTTTGGTAAATAACCAGGGTTAACCAATTCTACTGTCTACTCAGATGATATTTTTCACAATTACTGACATTTATTAAGCATCTACTATGTGCCCGGAACAATGCTTATAGATTTTTAAAATTGACTCTTACTCTTCACAAAGACCCTGTGTGGCAGGTAAATTTTGCACTAATTTTATGGATAAGGCAGGAATCAATGAATATATCTTATGTCAACTTCCTCTTTGGGAAAAGAACTGATAGAAAGGAACCTACTGACCTATTAAGAACATCCCTGCTATGTACATGAGCAGAAAGTTCTGCAGTTCAGCCAAACGCACTGTCAGCATCCAGTTCAGGAGTGGCAGCCAAGTGGTGACCAGCCTGGGCAAAGGAAGGGCACAGGAGAACCAGAGATGGGTGTCGCCTGGCTTTGCAAACAACCCAAGGTGCCACCCTAATCCTGCCAGTCCACTTCTCTGAGCCTCCCTTTCTGGTACTTTTAAAAAGGATCGTGAAACCTGGGCATGTCTCCTGGGAATACTTTAGGCACCACTTCTACACCTACCCTACGGGGTTCGGGACTCACGACCACTTACTTCGCCAGGCCCAGAACTGAAGGTCACTTCCCCTATGCGTCCCCACCCCAAACACCCTCTGCCCCATCCGTGGCACTGAGAAACCGCCGTCGACCCAGGCCACTGGAAAGTCACTGGCGTTTTCACAGCGGTCCTCGTGGTGGCCAACGAGGGACAGAGCCCTGCTTGGGAGACTGCGCCCCGGAACGCAGGTCTCTCCAGGGTTTCCTTCAGGGACACCTCAACCCCACTCACAGCCACACGCAAGACCCACGGAGCTCGCGCCGGTGACCCCGACGTGGCGACGCGGGGCGGGATTCGGTGCCCTCCCACTTCTCCCTGAGGAGGCGCCCGCTTACGAGTCTGCAGTCARCCGCAGGAGGGAAGGCCGCACGCCCTGCGGGGCTCCACCCGGGCTCCCGGCGGTGCTCCCGGGGGCCGCAGGTCCGCGGCGCGCGGCCCCGGGGGACAGCACGGCCCCGGCCCCGCCCCGCCCCGCCCCGGGGACAGAGCGGTCTGGCCCAGGGGACCCCTGACGAGCCGCCGCGCCGGCGAAGGCCTCAGAGACGGGCGTGGACTTTCCCCGGCGGCCCGCGGGCCTGCCGAGGGCCTCGAGCCTCGGCCTCGGCCGCCGTCCGCTCAGCCAGGCCTAGCCGGCCGGCCCGCCGCCCAGGCCGCCGCCCTTCCTCCGTGCCTCCCGCGCGCGCCGCGTCCTCACCGGGCCTGCCAGGCCTGCGCCGCCGCCCGCCGTGAGGTGGCCCGCGCCAGCGCCGCCCGCTCCCGACCGCTCAGCCGCCGCCGCCCCCGCGCCCCGCGCCGTCCCGCCCCCGCTGCGGACGCGCAGCCGATTGGCCCGCGGGGCGCCGGGGCGGGGCTCCGCGGAACACGACGAGCGCGGCACCCAGTTCTGATGGGTCAGGCGACGGGGAAGGGGCGGGGCGAAGGGGACACCGCGGTCGGCCGCAAATCTCGGCAGAGCGTTGGCTGGCTGGGCGGGACCTCCCCCAGAGTGGACTCGGGCCTGGGCGGGGAGCCTAGGCTTGGGGAGTGGACTCGGACCTGGGCGGGGCCTCGGCTTGGGGAGTGGACTCGGGCCTGGGCGGGGCCTCGGCTCAATGGAGAAGTTGGCGCTGGGCTGCGGGTCTCCTCCCGCGAGACCCTCCTAGCTTCCCCACCCTCTTCCCCAGCTCTGGCCGCCAGCCTCCTTCCTAACTCAGTCCCGGTGCACCCCTCTGGGGCCACTGGACGGTGGCCCGGGGATAGTTGGAGCCACTGAAGGGCAGCACAGAAGACAGGCCGCGCGGCGACGGAGGCCTGAGATACTGCCACGGGGAACTGCAGTCGCCCTCTGCCTTGGGATCCCCACCAGGGCGTAGACATGGAGACCAGACCCTCAATCTTCTATGCCTGCGACTCACAGCAGCGCTCTTCTCCCTGGGGATTAATTGAATTAACATGGCAGCCTTCAAGATCTTGCCCAAACTTGCGGCTGTCCTCGCACTTAAACAATCAAGGGACTTAATCCAGGGGCGACCTGCAAGCTTCAAGTGAGTGCTCCGGCTTTGTGAGGGAAACCCAACCATTTCCCCCAGCACAAGATGGGAGGAACGAACCCTGGCTTCTAGCGAGGCAGCCTCGGGGTCCGAAGACCTGAAGGATGCATGGAAATTGCTGAGCGGTCGGATTACCCCAGTGTCCCCCATGGCCAGAACCACTGCTCCAACCTAGTGACATAGCTGGCTCTGGCTGTGCTGGCAAAAGGGAAGGTGAGGAAGGGGTGAAGGAACCAAGCAGGCAAGGATCTGGAATGGCCAGAGCTTCATTACTCGGGGGACTCAGCGTGCCACTCAGGAGGAATTGGCAGGAGGACAGGGGCCGAGCAGGCCCTCAGATAATGGGGGTCAGTGAGATGCCCATGGGGCTTGAGGCCTGGGCTTGGAGGCACTCAGCCACCCAGACCAGGATCAAGTCCAGGTTTCCAAAGTTTCCTTCAATAAAGTTGTAGTGAATTCACAGTATATCTCTTAAAAACGTACAAGAGCCAGGTGCAGTGGTGCAAGCCTGTAATCCCAGCAGCTCTGGAGGCTGAGGCAGGAAGATTGTAAGTTCAAAGCCAGCCTCAGCAACAGCAAGGTGCTTAACAACTCAGTGAGATCCTGTCTCTAAATAAAATACAAAATAGGGCTAGGGATGTGGCTCAGTAGTCGAGTGCCCTGAATTCGATTAAAAAAATAAAAAAAAATTGCCATAGAAATTTCTTCTTGGATACTTTTCCAATAGTCACCTATCTCTACAGTTAGTAATAGTTATTGCTATATCTTTTAATTGATACCACGTGTCAGTGACCACTTATCCATCTTATCAGTGCTAATTCTTACCAGGTGATCTCCTACTGTCTGTACAGASGATCTGATCACCTTAAATAGTTCCTGTGCAGTCCACCTTCTTTTGGGCTGGGATCTCTAATGTGAAGTTATCCAGTGCAGATGCTGTTGATAGAAATCAGCTTCATGATTTATACACAGATGCTTTGGGGGCTTTGCATAGTCCCCCCAAGACCTCACGCCTTCCCTTGTAAAGAAGCAGTGATGAGTACTACTCTCAATATTTAAACAATAGTGCTTTATTTTAAAAAAAGGTTAGTTTAAATGCATACAAAATTGCTGTGTAAATTGATCTCAAAAATATTTCTATAGGTAAGATCTCAGTAAGAGCAATTATCTAGTAGAGAAAGTGTATGTTTAGATTTGGACAACAAAATAAAATGGGATTCAAAAGAGTGACACCCTGTAGACCTCCTGGCCCACACCCCACCATCAGGTGGCACCTAGCACTAAGCAGCACTTTGACCCAAACACACAGGGCTTACACTGCTTGAAAATGCTTTTAGTAACTTTTTCCATAACTGTCAAGATAATCCAGATCATCAACTGCCTTCCAGTGGTCTGGAACTGCTCGTGATAATGTGAGGGGCAAAGCAGGCGAGAAAACGGAGCGACCTCCTGCAAAACACCTTCATAACCATYGTTTTGACTATCACATCTTATTTTTTTTCCTGGCCAAAACAAAACAAGCCCTCCCCCCAAATCACTYTCTCTCATCAAACACCTTCTTCAGTTCAACTCCTCCTGTTGCAGCAAAATGAAAAGACTGAGCTGGCTTGCTCCCTCCGTAACCGTCATCTCTTGTCCCACCCCTCTGGRGTCAACTCTCCTGGTGCTGGGAGAAGTGGAGAGAAAGTGTCTGCTGAAGAGCCCCACTGGCAGCAGGAGGAATGGGAAGGGCAGGAAAGCTAAGGCCCCACRCATAGCAGGACACCCAGTGTAACTATGGTGGACACCTGTCTAGCAGCCTACAGGACAGACTTAAAATGCCTTTCATTCTAACCACAAGATGAAGGAAAGATGATGGCTGAAAATAGGTGAGACAGTCATAACGACCCCAATTAACCATTGCTGAGGTGGGTTATTTCACACTTGCAGTAACAGAAATACATGAAAGTGCAGTATAAAATTTCTAAAAATTGGATTCTTTAAAAATTTTTTCTAATTTAGGTGAGAAAAAATAGTTTTCTGACTCTCACTGTGCCAAGAAGCTTGCAGCAGCACAAAGCTGGGGTTCGCTGCTGTGCTCTCCACAGTGCAGCCCAGCAGCGTCTCCAGCGCCTACAGGACAAGTGTCCACAGGGGAGTTCCCTGCACAGGTGTTAAAAATGACCTAGCATCAGAATCCCAAGTGCTCTTCCAACCCACGCCTAAAGCCTGTTTTTAGAAGTTGTTCAAGTGTAAACGTATCTCGTTAGGTGACTCTGTTTTCTACTTGGTTAATAGATAAATGTGCAGATTAACAGTATTGAACTATAGCAGCAAAACTGGTTTTAGGTGTTTGYTGTGCACAAATATAAAATGAAGGAAGAGTCTCCATGTGGAGCGACTGCACAGCTTTCTGTCACAGGCACACGTCTACCACCAAGGAACACTCCTGGTAAATCTGAATGTTCTAGATGTCAAGAGTGCTCATCAATGACTAATCAGGCCAACTAAATCAAGGGAATTCAATATTAATTACACACTCTGATACTTGGAAATCAATTCTAATATTAGTGGTTAGTTAAGGAAGAAAACAAAAGTGAGCGTTTACCTCATGAAGTATAAAGTATAACATAGCAGTGAAATACAAATGTTAAAAGTACTTCATACAAAACACACCAATAGTTTAAAAAAATTAAATTCTCAGGCACAGGTGTTGTAAATGTAGATGGGCACCCTTCTAAGGATCTTATGGAAAGTTGCGATGTGGCATTCATCAGGAATGTGTTCTTCTTTGTATCCAAGAGCGTTTTCTGGAAAAGTAAAACAGATTTAAGAAGGAATGAAGCAATGCTTGCTGCTTTGGTCACAGACAATACTATTTCTTTGCACAACAAAGGCCACAGATTGAGCAAAAGGATGGGCTTACAAGACCCAAGAGAGTTATCTAAATCAAGATGTCAATACGCTGAGCGTGGGGAAGCACTCCTGTAATTCTAGCAGCTCAGGAGGCTGAGGCAGGAGGACCACAAGTTCAAAACCAGCCTGGGTAACTTACAAAGGCCCTAAGCAACTTAGCAAGACCCTGTCTCAAAATAAAATGTAAAAAGAGCTGGTGGTGTGGCTCAGTGATTTAAGTGCCCCTGGGTTCAATCCCGATACAAAAAAAAAAAAAAAAAAGGCATTTGTGAGATGCTTGGAACATGGAAGCACTGAAAAACTGAAAAATACCCAGAAATGAAAATGTCCACGACCTCATAAAGTTTCTACAAGGGAAGAGACCACAAGCAAGCACTGTCATTTCCTCCTGCTCAAGGGAGTCACTCCTGGAGTCCTGGCTTCTCTCCATGAGTCCTCGCTCTGGTCAGGTGCAACCCTGGTCACACAGAGCCAGCTTTTGGAGGCAAGAGCCCCGTTCTAGTGAGGTGCCAGTAGGCTAGGCACGTCAGACCCTTGCAGCAGTACTGACTTGAGACTCACAGAGTTCCCCAGGTGATGAGAGGGCAGCGACACCCAGCCAGGTTTGTGTGGACAGACACTGCCTTTACAGGAACTTGTCAAGCCAGTCATGCTGTCTTTTAATATACCTGCTGTTCAACAGACCTTCCCCAGGAAGCTGCAGAAGGCAGGGGCACTGCTTCAGTGACCAGTGACCCAGTAAGTCCTCCTGGCCCTTCTGTGGCCACCCATCCTTCTGCTGTGGAGGTCTGGGGAATCCTTGCTTTCTGTCTTACCTACACACGTTTCAGCTAATGTTATGGTTTGAATGTGAAGGGTCTCCCAGAAGCTCACAAGAGACAGTGCAAGAGGGTTCAGAGGAGAATGACTGGGTTGTGAGTATCAGCGCCATAGGTGAATCAATCCCCTCCCAGACAGGGATCAACTGAGTGGTAACGGAGGTGGTGGATCCCTGGGGGCATGGTTTTAGAGTATGTTATCTGGTAAGTGGAGACCTCTCTTTCTGCTTCCTGAACACTGTGTGAACTGCTTCCCTTGGCCACGCTCTACTGCCATGATGTCCTGCCCTACCTTGAGCCCAGAAAAATGGAGCTGGCCTTCTATGGACTGAGATTTCTGAACCTTGAGCCCATTTAACTTTTCCTTCTCTACAGTTTTTGTTGTTGGGTCCTTTTAGTCACAGCAGTGAGAAGCTGAATGAACAGCTAAACTCCATGATTTGCCTCATGCCTCCAGGATGAGGTCCTGAGACTGCAGCGAAGACTTTCTCCCTAATGTCCAGCTTTCTTCCGAAGATCTCTCCCACCTCAAACTCATTCATGCCCTGCCTGTGCCATCTGTTTGTCTCCATGTGATTTTCTTTTTGGGACCCTTAAGCCTTTATCTGATGTTGCCTATCATTCCTTTCCTCTGTGAGCTGATGGGAGTGAACCTCTGCCTTTCTAGTCCTGAGGGCCCTGGTGTCTGCAGGATCCTGTTTACTAATTACTGATGGTTGAACAGAGCTGCCTTGAAAACCTAGAGGCCAGCCATCCTCGGCAAGGGGACCTTGGTCTATCTGCGTGGCTCCCCACACCATGGCCCAGCCATCCTTAGCAAAGGCACCTCAATCTATCTGCAAGGCATCTTTACTTTGGATCTACACGAGCTGTCTTAACAACACTTGACACTTTTTATACCCTTAAAGACAGATTATCAACATTAACAAATTTTTAATTGTATGACTAATGAAAGTATTTACAAATTTTCTTCTGAGTCACATTTGTAAGCTCAGAAAATATTAAACAGCTTTACTAGATGGCAGGTGGCAGTGCACTTTAGAAGCACTCCTTTCTTATTTAGGGCTAATGGTGTTATCCATGTAAGACTTCAGGAGGAGCCTGTCATATTCAAGGTGAACCAACAGTGAGATCCCTCAGAAACAGGTGCCTGCTTTCCAGGCTGACGGACACCAGGGACTCTGAAAGGTTACAATGCACACGTCACCTCACACGTGGTGCCCGAGCGCCCCGCTGTCCCCGTCACCGCCTTGCATCTGCATCTGCATCTGCGCCTGCATCCTCGCAATCATTTCTTGCATACGGCGGAGCTAGGGAGACAGTGCAAGCCAGACCCGTGACTGTTCAGTCTTTCAACATTACCCGTGCTGTTCTGTGGTTCCCCAAACACTAGACGTGTTAAGACGGGGAATTCTTACAAACCAGCAAAAGGACCAAYAGTGTAACAGAAAACCATGTAAATAATAAAAGAACACAATTCAAGGAAGATGCAGATATTATCAACAGAGCAGTAACTTAAGAAAAATAAGGCAATGAGATATTTTTTAACCTAAAAGGTGGGTCAGTGGGGTATGGGAAAGAGTATGTTCCTCTGAAGGGCAAGGAGGTCAGAGCGATGAAGAGTGGACTTGTCCGTCTTGATCCTTACTGATTTTCATCACTAAAACATTTACTCAAATTTTCTTCAGGTAACTTTGTGGTGATGGCTGCAACATTTAACTATTTGATCCACACTGGGTTGATTTACCCAAAGATGCGAGTCTTCTGTTTTCCAAAGGCCAGTCTATTGTGGCCAAACCTCTACTGAACACCTGCACTCCACTCTCCAGCAGGCCTGGGGCACCTTTGCCAAAGGACATGCTGACATCCCTCATTTACCTCTAGATGCCATGTGGGTGGCCAAGGCTCATCTGGGCCTCTGGATCAGTAAGGCAAGCCTCTTGTCATTAGTCCAGTTTTCAGAGAGCTTCCCGAACCTCCCATGCGTATTCTTCAAAGCAAACATGAGGATGACTGAATCGGCCCTCACTCGAAGGAGAAGAATGAACACAGACAGCCAGGCCACAGGCTCTGACAGAGCTGAAGTCAGAGGTCAACTTGGAGCACTGTAACCCTGTACTGTCTTCCCACCTACAAACCTGCACGTCTATCATAGTCTTTAAAAATCTTCTCAGTAAAGTTTTTCAATTTCTTTCCCCAGAAGTCCTACTTATTTTTTCTCAATTTTTTGATAACTAATGCCAGTGGCAGTTTTGTTTTATTTTCTAGTTACTATTAATGTATGGAAAGAATTATTTTTAAACATTTCATAAAAATCAGTCACATTATTATACTGTTTCTATGCTTTTTAGCTAAATTACTAGATGCGATTAAATACATAAARTGGGTATATTATACATTAAATTATAACAAACTAATTACAGATGATATTTGGATATAAACCAAACTGCTGCAGTTGTAAGAAGAGCATTTTCTACTTACTTCAGCTTCCTTTTCCAGCAAGATCTGATCTTTATTCATGTCCTCGTTCTCCACTTTCCTAAGAATGGAGAGAARTGACAATGGTATCATCTAAAAATTCACTTTAGAATTCTGAGAAACACCTACTTGATTTTATATATYTTTATCATTTTTAAAAATYAAACACATAAAAAAAGGGAACAGGAAGAAGAAAAGCATAAACGCCAGGAGATGAGAAGCTCAGGAGACTCCCTGCCCCAAGCTGGAGTGATGACACGTCTCCTCTCAAGAACACTCCTGCAGAGGTGCAAGGTCGGTCAGTGTGTTGAAGGAGCAGGACATGAGCAGGTCAGAACTGGCCCACGGGATGGAGGCCGCTCCCTCAGTACACAGAGGCCCAAAGCCCAGTAGGAGAGGCCTCTCCACCGCTGCCTCCTGCCTCTAGAACTTTGATTAATAACTGGTTCCCACGTCAAAACGATAAATGAGATCTTAATATATACCTCATGCATGCTCACAATTCTTCGTTAAAAAGAACATATTTTAGATGAACTAGATACACGAAATATTTAACAACTGCTATATTTCCACTTATTTGTTCATTAAACTCTGTTCTAAGCAGAAAACGGAGCTGCTTTAGAAGTACCACCAATATAAGCTCTGGCCTTGAGAGAGACAGAGAGA